AAAAAAATAAGGATTCAAATATCAAAATATGTATAAAAGTGAAATCTGAAAATAAATATTTTATTAAAAAAAATTGCTGAACTGAATCAAAATAATATTCAACCTGAAAAATGATTTCAAATACTTATTTTTATTTTGAATGCATCATTGTATTTTTCAAAGTTCAGGATAAAAACTTGAACTTTCAAATAAATTGTATTTTTTTGAATGATCAAAACTTATGACCCTGAAATAGCTCCATAGAGATGCAAGTATAATCAAAATTCATACATTCGTATATAGTTAAGTAATATTGTGGTTACACAAAATAAGCTCATATAAAGCAGGTGAAATGTAGGTAAAGGAAACACCACATCTATAAACAAACAAGATGTCAATATAAGAGTTGATGTCTTGTAAGGACTTTTGAACAGATAAAAGTGCAAAACATTTAAAATAAACACAAACAAAGTATAAAAAAAGATAGCAAGACAGAAAAAAGCAAAGAATAATGAAAGTCTGTTTGTGTGTTTACAGTATGTGCATTTTCTTACCCCGGTCTGGCTGGGCTCCCCCCCGCAGCTCTGGTCCACGTACCAGTCCCCCTCCCACTCCCAGCTGCGTGACGGCAGTTGGAAGCTGTGCAGAGGCTGAGGGTTCATCCCGGTCACGTCGCTCCACGGCCAGCGGTCTGTGGGCAGCAGCGTGTCAGTGAAGTTATCCACAGGGTTCCACCTCTGAAACCCAAGGAGAGAAACAGCACTTCAGTAATAACACTATATAGCGTCTACAATCTAAGTGTGTCAACAAACAGCTTGACCTCACCTGGTTTTCATAGGTCTCCTCCCGGTAGCGGATGGAGGTCTCACTGGGCATCATGTTGAGGTAAACGTGGTGGTCGCAGCCGATGCCCCAGCAGCGGCCCTTCCCCGCGGTGACGCGCTTCAGCTCCAGCAGCATGTCGTCTGCTCGCTCCCAGCGCTGGCCAGCTGTGGAGAGGCTGTACACCCGGCCGTACACATCCACGGCCCACAGCATGGTGATGGGCATGATGGCCCCTGAGGGAGACAGCAGAACATCACACATCGTTCACAGCTGCATTTATCTATTTCATGACCACACTTCAGTCCTATGATATCCTGAAGAGACACAACCTTTTACATTTACATTTAGATTCATCCTTGAATAGTTATACTCCCGCTACGGTAGTTTGCAACGTATTAAGAAATACATACATAAACTTTTAGATCACTTTTCTTTTTTTCAGAATTTGTAAATAAACTGCATTATATGGAGCTTTTATCCAAAGCCCTGTTGCCTCAGGTTCACCCATTCACACTCACATATTGGTGCTGGTAAACTATCAAGAGCAATTTGTTGTTCAGTGTCTTGCCCAAGGACATTTCGACATGTGGACATTTGGAGCTTGAGATCAATCCGACAACCCTGCTTCGATACGTGGGCAATCTGCTCTTCCCCCTGAGCCACAGTCACATAATTTAATTCAACTTTACTCTGAAAAGTACCATAAAAACAACATAGGGTTGCCCTCTCCTAATTGATTTGATTACAAATTGTGATATTTCAACATCAAGACTTCATCAGGGAGTCAAGAAAATCCCTGAAACCTGTAGGAGTGGGTTTTTTAGTTGTAATAACAGCCTGCCATGACAATAAAGGCTTTTTAAATGTTTGTAAATATAGTGTTTTCTTGGTATTTTTTACTACATGTGTCCTTATCCAAAGAGCCCATCGGACAATTATAACTGGGTCCAGGAAGCACTTTTATTTTATTTTTACATCAGTCTGGAAGTACTAAAACCTGACAGTGGGCTTTTAATCTGAAAATTCAACAGGAAGCCTCTTGTTATTCTTCCTACCTTGACGCTTGCTTTATCGACTGACACTAATCCGCTTCAGCCACTATTCCTCGATTATCCATACAATCACACAGGCCTTTATTTGGTTTATTAAAATGCAATGTGCATTTACATAATAAAACCTAAATCATCTTAATTATAATTTAAAGTACACGGAAATACATGGGCTGCAAAGAAAAAGGTACATTTAGCACATTACAAGACTTCAGATTTTTAGAATAAACTTGATGTACCTTTTAGTCTGCAGTGGACCGTTAAACACATAGACAAACACACACAGCAGCATAACGTTACCTGTATATTGGTATCCGATCCGCGGTTGTCAAGGGAATATCAACACACGCGACATGACATCAGGTGCAACAGCCGATACCTGCCATCTCCGAGGCCCATGCTAGGACACATCCAAAACCCTTATGTTAAATAAACACAGAGAAATAAAGCATGCAATGCATCGTAATAACACAGATAGTCGATATGGAGTCATATGCCGCAAAGTCGGCTATAATCTGTTTACAGAGTCTCCAGGTTAAAGACAGCAGGCAGCTAACACACACACACTTTCATACAAATATCAATTACTTACATATACAAATCCATCATGAGCAACAGTTTTGGAGAAGCAAAGTAAAGTGGTCCATGCACATTTCGGCTGGGGCATTTAATTCACATTCTGGACCAGAGGAATGCTCCGTGCAACTCCCGAGCCCACAACAGGAAATGGCGGAAGTGCTTCTCTGATTGGTTGAGACTCCGCAGGAGTGGTGATTCTCTATCTCCTATTGGTGGAACACGAGCAGCTCTTTTTTTACGACGGTCGCTGCTGATTGATTTACATATTTCAATAATTTATTCAGCGCCAGATGAATTATTGAAGCCCAAGGTTGGGTTTACTTGTTAGCTACAGTTAGGAATATTTCATAGCAACCACCAGCACATTACTATAAAGAAAATGTTGCTGAGAAACTTTTATTTAATGACGGCTTTCTTAAATAACAATGATGTTTGGCATGTAAGCACACTTACTACAGTGTACATAAGTACAATTGGTATGTACTTTTACTTTATTTCACTTGAGTTAACCATGTTTTACAACTTTATACTTCTACTCCACTACAGCTCAAAGGCAACTTTTGTACTTTTTACTCAACTACATTTGTCTGACAACTATTGTTACTCTGCGCAGATCACTTTTTTCCAGGCCTTTCCTGTCCAGTAAACATTTTTTTCCAAATGGGATGATGTAACTTTTCTGATGACCAGAAGGATGCAGTTTTCCTTTACATGCTGAGAAAATGTTCCTACTTCTTAAGATCAATAATGTATTCAAAAATGACCATGTATCAGCTGGAAAATGCATCATCACAAAGCTGAAAACAGGAATGTCTTTTTAGTTCATAGAGATTTGACTTTTAAAAGAAAAATGGTTTTAACTGGACAGCGATGCAACTAAAATGATGATGGTTTCACAGAAACATTTGAGTAGAACTATCTAGCAGTATATAAAGGATTTAACAGATAGCACAACCTAAAACATAAAATACAACATAGCACATTAATGCAGCAGTTATATTTATGCACCAACATCATTCAAAATGTGAAAACACTGATGTTTAGTAAAGTTAAAGCCATACACTGTTACCTAAAAGTAATGCAATTTGATGAGTGATAATCATAAGGTAGAGTCTTTGGATGAAAAGAAAACCGACTGACCGATTGGACAAGCATGCCATTTCCTAATTTACAATGGTGAAAAAAGTATTCAGATCATTTACTCATACAAGACCCATTACAACAATATAAGTACAATAACAAGTAAAAGTGCTACATTCAATTGTTATCAATACTTTTTATACTGGTGCGACACTGAGTGATTTGAGGATTACATTTTTTATAACAGCAAGATAAAAGTTAGTGGGAAGAGAACAAACTGACCTGGGGTCATAAGGTCAACCCCTTGTGGAAGTCCCCTTCAGTGTTTATGTTTCGTTTTAGTGTTTTATAGCGGGTACCTGTGTTTTTACATCATGCATCTGTTTTAAAGTGCCTCTGCTGTAATTCTTTAAAGCTGTTAAAAGCTGTTAAATATGTTACTCCCTAGTGCTCAATTGTTAGAAGGAGCCATGCTTGCAAGAATTAAAGATCTTCAAGAGGATTATTACGAACATTGTGTTTTTGCATTTATTGCCTCACTACAACTCTAGCAGCAACTGATTTTAATAACAAACTGATTGAAAGTCATATACATCCTGAATGACGCATAAGAAGACACCACTGGTTGAACATTTGATAATGCATTTATACCAGTAATTTATAAGTGTATCTAAAAATATCTGAAATATATCTATAGCGGTCAAATACACGTAGAGTACTAAAAGTACATAATTTCCCCTGTTTAAAATGTTTTGGAGTATAAGTATGAACAATCATAAAGTGTAAAGTAAAGTAAGTAGCCTACCTAAAGAGTTTAACCTAACCACAGCGTAACATACTATAAAATGATAGGCTATAAACACATTGTTAATAAAGTCACATTAAATCGAGCCGCTGTGGGAAACATGGAAGGAGAATTAGAGAGAAAAAAATGAATTAAATAACTGATGAGTATATATTTTTGTTTTAACATCCAATTATGATAGTTAAAATTAGATTAAAATATTGAAATATGTGGTCCCTTCATACATTTTGATTTCGACTACCGCTCATTTCAACAAATCATAGTATTTTATATTTCCTGTTAGTCACTCACTTGTATCCTCCCCAAACCTGCAACCATTCTCTAAATAAATCTGAGCATGTAAATCTAATATTATGCAACATTAAGGGTTACCCACTTATAATGACGACAGTTATGTAAGTCACTATGTGAACAAAGTTTAACCAGCACACACGACGACGAGGTATGCTCAACTCAATCTGTGGACCATTTACCTAATACATGTTGACTAGTATAGCATAGCGTGTAGATTGTGTACACTGGTAGGACCATATTAAAACCAGTGTGCACTGGCAGGTAGTGGAATGTGTGCTGGCTCTGCAGTGCACTGCATGCATGCAGCACCGAGCTTGTATTTGTATGCACTGTCGCTTTAAGAAGCCTTTGAGTGCGCAGAGGCGCTACAGCAGCTCATCACATGATTCTCTTCTCTTGTGACAATCCAGACAGAAAGGAAAAGCCTTCCTGAGTTCAGCTGAGTTACACGGGCACACGGCGTTGCGATGACAGATTCCTGTTGTTTTGGTACCAAAGGACCAACTTCGAAGAGGGAAATGGAGTTAAGTTAACCATTACCTGACCATTCCTGTCTATTTAGTGGACATTTGGTAAATACTTGGGGTTGTTGCGCCGCCGGGGACAAAGTTGGCGCATGGAGAGGGACGAAGTTTAATTTTTGCGCAGCGTCTTTTTCTTTGTTTTTGTTGCAACTGCGTTTCAACGAACGTCACACGGCTTTTCGGACAACTAACGACAAGTAACCTGAGTTCAGTTTTGACCTTTTCCACTGTGGTTGAAGTGAAGGCTACAAGACAACAAGACAACTTGGGGTCGCATCACGTTGTGTTGAGATGGTGGACAACAAACCTCTTCTCCAGGACAGACCCCCCTCCTACAACACCGTCCCAGGGGCTTACGAGTATGCCCCTCCGCAGAGCAGCTATGGGGCTATCCCGCCGCTGGCCCCGCCGCCCTACCAGTACCCCGCCGGACAAGGCAAGTAGCCCCGTTTACGGAGCACACGTTCATGGTCCACATTTACCAGAAAGTAAAGCCCCCGGACGTAGGGCTCACTGCTGCCCACTTCCGTCTTCGTTTAAAGGAAAGCTTTGACCTTGTTTTGATTTTGCTCACAGTCTGTGCGTGTGTTTGTGTGAAGGAGTCAACATTTAAACCAAAGATATCAAGACTTTAACAAAACAAATACCCTGTTTGAGTAATAAGTTTCGTTTATCAGGTGCTACAAAGTTGCGCATGCGCAGTATCCCGATAGCGATGTCTGGCATTTGTGTCTGACCTGTTTTTGGGTGAATGAAAATATGCGGCTTTAAAAGTCAGTCGATAAACCGCACATCCCTTATAAATTAATGTTTGGATATTTTGAAGGCAGGATTTTGATATGACTTTAGATTAGATATGTAAACTATGAAGTTTTGGCACAGTGTAGCACTAAAAGTTGTTCTATTGTGGCCCCAGCCCTTGTAGGCTACAGTACGTGTCTGCTTTACATGACGAAGGCTGTCATATGACTGATTGTATAAGAGCTGCAATGACAAGGAAGTAACTCTTTCCTAAAATGAAGATTGCTTTTCTTGTTTCCTGTGTGATGAAACACTCTGCCACTGAAAAGGGATCATTATTAAAAAAAAAAACAGTGTATTTGTACAGCGACAAGTGGTTGTGGTATCAGTGTTTATTGTGTTGCGGAGATACCACAACAGATGGACACAGGTGAAAAAAAAATCAATATAACCTCAGTCAGGGTCATAATCACGTAAACTCTCCTACAAACACACTCATAACAAAGTCACCTTCAACATGTTACGGTAATTGTTAATGTTGTGATTTACTCTGAATGTCCATATTAACATGTGTGCCTGCTGTCCACTACAGGATACCCATCAGCCCAAATGGGCCCTGCCATAGCCCAGCAGCCCTACCCCGCGTCCTACACCATCATACAGCCGTCTGTGGTGGTGGTGGGAGGCTGCCCTGCCTGCAGGTGAGAACACACACTATGGGTGGCAGGTATAAACCTACAAAATATGAAAATGTAGGGTATTTTTAGGATAATTACAGTCTTGGTGATGTGATATAATACTGAAAAGTTGTATTGTTCTATAGCTCAGCAGAGTTTGCTTTCAAATATAAAATAACAAAAATGAAAAAATGATCTTTTATTTGTAAACAACAACAGTAACTCAGAGTGAGATCTATACAACATAGGCCTAAATAGAACATACAAATAAAATCAACGCTAATCTAAAAGGCACGTCTAAACAGTTTCGAAGTACAAACAAATATACAAAATAATCTTTGTATCTTCAAATGTCAATATATCAACTGGTAATAAATATGAAGTCATTACGGCAGCCAGAATAATGCCATTTTCACAATATTTTAAAGAAAAATCCTATTAAAAACTCCACACGTATATTATCGTGAACGCTATATGTCACCACCCTAACACACATGCATATTATTAGCGTGTATAACACAGTATATAACTGACAGTGATGAGCGCATGTTTAACCATGTGCTCATCACTGTCCTGTCTGTGACTAAGTGGGATCTGAGCACAGTTCATTCAAAGTATAAAGTCCTAACTTCCTGTGCCTAATTATTGTTCTGTCTGCGTGTGTACCTTCATTGTCTCTGTGTGTATGGAATCAAGCCTACAGTTTGACCTATTGTTAAGCAGAAGTAACTTTCAATTTTGAAAGATAGATTCACTGTGCCTGAGTCAACATCCTCTCAGTCAGATGACAACAGCATCAAACTTGTGACAGGGGGGGGAGGGCGGTTTATAAAAACATCCATTGGTGGAGTCGTAAAATAATGGGATAGAAATGCTCTGTTACAAGTAAAAGTCCTGCATTCAAAATGTAAGTATTACCATCAAAACATATTTAGAGTACCACAATAAATGTGTACTCACTTTGCAGAATAATTCATTCCCACATCTTTTTAAAAATATTATTTTATTAAAAGTATTGATCAGTTCATCACTTTAATGGTTCAGATGGTAAAGGAGTAACTTATACTTATACAAATACTGCTTGGTAGCTGTTGAATTGAACCAGTGCATTAATAAAGTTTTGTCTTTTATAGTAATTGATAAATAATTTGTTGATTATGCTTTTTATTATTAAATGTAAAATTTCAACGTGAGTTATTAAAAAAATTATAATTGTGGAGTAAAAAGTAGAATGCGTGTCACTGGATTTTTGTAGTGGAGTAGTATAAAGCAGAAGAAAAAAAACATATCTATACACGACTTTACCAATGTTTAATAATGTGTTGAGTTGTAATAACAAATAAATAAAGGTAGCTCCCTGACACTCTGTTATAAAATACACAACATGTATAACAGACAGAAGTTTAAGTCTTCATTTTGCATCGTGGCCATGATTCCTCGGTCAGTGACAGTTCCTGATACCAGTGAACAAACAAAGTGTGTAAATAACATGGCACACCAAACACTGTCAGCTGCGTGCCGTATTATTAGAAGCTAACATGATTTAAGGAAGGTCAATCAAAGGTCCTCACTTCTGCAGGATCTAATTTTGTTAGTGCAATCAAGGCGGATATATTAAGATTATTTATATTTTATATATATAGCATTAGCAGTTAGAGCTTTTCATTTCCCACCTCTTTAAGGTCTAGCTTCATACACACAGCTTTTGTTAATTCTCTCTGGGGCCTCCAGCAGATTTACTGGTGGACGTGCTGTAGTCATGGGACTCTGTGTTCACCGTGACTCTGGATTAAAGCTTCAAAACAAGCTGCTTCATGTCCTGACAAACATGACGTAGCTGTTTTCTCATGTCACAGGGCAAAATCCTTTCCTAGATGGTCCTTTCTTTTCTCTTCTTTATTTAGAAGCACCAAAAGCCAACATTCTTTGAACGTATTCAGCTGATGCAGTTTTATGGTGAAAGATGTGAAATTGTCGTAGCAGAGTGGGGGTTTCTGGAAAAACATCCCCTACGTCCAACGTTATAATCACTTTTGAAGCAGACCTGATTACATTTTCCTAACAGCAGTTCACTGAATAATTATCTCTCGATAGTTAAGGCTGCTTCCCTGATCCATGCATGTTGGAAGTAGGGGAATTTTTGCCAGCACCCTTCTCTCTGCTTTGACAATTTCAAATCTTTCCAATATGGCCAATATTAATACTTTTATAATAAGAAAGGGAACATTATTTAAAGTTGCGTGTTTATTCAGTGTAACAAATAGATGAACAACTTAATAATCTAATAACTGTGAATGCGTAGCTACTGACAGCCATGTCAGATTGAGACCAGCTCCTGTAGAAAGACATCTAAAAGGCCCTCCATACCCCTACAGAGGAGAAACAAACACTGGCCGTTTCTCAATCGCGAGGATGCTTGCTTGGTAGCACATGTCTTCCGAGTCACTTCCTTCAGAAGCGATTTTCCGAATGCCAGGAAGGATTCTTACCTCGCTTCTGAAGGAAGTGACTCGGAAGACATGTGCTACCAAGCAAGCATCCTCGCGATTGAGAAACGGCCAGTGTTTGTTTCTCCTCTGTAGGGGTATGGNTTCACTAGAGCTGTTGAGCATTGGACCGGTGATTATAAAAGTGAACGCGCACTTGGGGGACAAGGGGACCATGTCCCGGAGGTTGGACGTTAAAGACCTCACCGCTTTTTTATGGCGAAGGATGCGTTGCCATGGCAAACCGGCATTATGATGACATCCCATAATTACATAGAGTGTTGCAGGGCGGAACCATTAATGATTAGTCTGGTCTGGTTGCCGGTTGACGCGAGCGCGCGTTGCGGCATGAGATTTACGACAAGACACCATGTTCATGCGCGGAGGGACAGTATGACATGGACCGATGAGCGGATGACACATGACCATTTAAAGCAGAGTCTGAAGTGTGGTGCCGTTTGGACGATTTTTCCATTGAATTACGACAACATGGTATTTTTTGGCGAAGGATGCGTTGCCATGGAAACGGCATATGGTGAGATTTCAGATTTCACGTAGAGCTGTTGAGGCATGGACCAGTGATATAAAAGTGAAGATTTGGGGGACGATGGGACCGTGTCCATTGGAGTTACAGCAGCACCGTGTTTTATGGCGAAGGATCCGTTGCCATGGTAACGCCAAATTAAGTAACATCAGATTCAACCTTGAGCTGTTCAGGGCCGCAGTGTTAACCATCATGTGAAGTTTGGTGGCGTTCTGAGAATGTCAGTTTGAGTTATGGCATCATCGTGTTCCATGGCGAGGGACCGCCTAGCATCGAGCGAACGCGAACTTTGGCGCCAAATCACGGCTATGCCGTGCGAAAGAAAAAAGTTTCCGTGATAACTTTAAATTGCCCATGTCTCGAGAAGCTACCCGACGAATTTCGAGTCGTACGGATAAAGTCCCAAGGACAAGATAGATTTGTACGGAGGACGAAAAACAAATAAATCGCGTTTTTCCAACGCCAAATTCAAAATGGCCGACTTGCTGTACGTTATTTTATACCCCTCCAAGAGGCTTTTTTGCTCGTCTCCGCACCCTAGATATGCGTAGCGAGTTTCGTTGGTTTACGTGAAAGTTAAAGTAGGGGGAGTTAACGTTAAAAACGGAAGTGGGCGTGGTCTACGCAATTTTTTACGTCAGTAATCCACGCCTTCGTCACCACTCAACTGGATTACTGTAACTCTCTTTACATGGGGGTCAATGGGTCATCCCTCGCTCGTCTGCAATTGGTGCAAAATGCAGCCTTTTAACTGGCAGACGGAAATATGGGCACATTTCCCCCATTTTGGCTTCGCTCCATTGGCTGCCAATACATTTTAGGATTTCAAAATCCTTTTATTTACTTTTAAATCCCTAAATGGCATGGCCCCGCCATATCTTTCTGAGCTGCTACACCCCTACACCCCTACCTGCCCAACCGCCCTCTCAGGTCAGCTGATCCTCCTGAATGTGCCCAGAACCAGGTCTAAGCTCAGAAGGGACCGTTGCTTCTCTGTAGCGGCTCCCACAATGTGGAAGGATCTGGCCCTGCATATCAAACAGGCCGCTACACTGCCTGCTTTTAAATCGCTTCTTAAAAACCACCTCTTCTCCTTAGCGTATTGACATTTATTTTATTTGTATTGCTTTTAAATTGTCTATTGTTTTGACTTGTTTTATGGTGTGTGAGCTGTGCTTTTTGTATGTTTTTGTTTGTTTATTTGACTGTACATCACTTTGGTCTGGAGGTTTTAAAGTGCTTTATAAATAAAGCTGTATTGTATCTTTGGCCATCACCCACACAAATGTTTTGATTAGCTGTATTGTGTTCAGGTTCATGATTGTACACTTTTTAGACCATACACTATACAATTATGATGCTCAAACCCACACTCCAGACACCCACCATCGTGCCCTTTTCAAGGTCTGTTTGCTAAGGCTTAAGGACCACTATAAGTAACCCATTCATATGCAAAGCTAGTATGGAAATGGATTTGCTGTTGCATGCAGCTGTATATATGGAGACTCATTTGAAATTGGAGGGACAGTCCAATCATTTTTCAGAGGCTGAGTTTATGTCCAATGCTCACTTCCTCTATTTGAGAAGTTCTTCTATGGCTTGAGTTATCTTGATATATTTGTCAATGTTATGGAATTGTTTTAATCTAACAGAGTTGTGTCAACACTTCCTACTGCAATTAAGACTTATTGAGTATTATTAGCTTATTTGGATATGTAAGCTTTTCCATCATTTCACATGGTAAACACATTGAACGTGTGTGTTGCTATAGGTAGCAAAAAAAACGTCAACCGTTTTTAGTGTACCCTGATCAGTTTTATACACTTTAGTAACCTGGTGACCCATCCTGTATTAATTCTCAGTATCATCCCAACAGATGCTTACACACTTAGAACAGGTGAATATAGATCTGTAAAATCTAATTTAATATTCTTGCTAGATAATTCTCAAAGGGATACTGCACTTCATAAAAATGTGCATTTGCATATTAATACTCAACCCTGTAACCTTGAATTATTGAAGAAAATGTTGTTTTCCTTGCATGCCGGAGTGAACAAAGAATCCAAAAACAGAGTTCTGAGGAATTAATGGCATGAATTAAAGTAAATAGGGGCAACATTTAACGGATGCTAGGATATATACAATTATTATACAACCATAATACCTCATGTATATAATAGTACAGTCTTAATAGTCACGTTTACCAATGAATACCACACCAGAATATGTAGTTTGACTGAAGGTGAATAGCAGTGGAGGGCCACACTGTCAACTGGCCGCGGTTTTCATGAAGTTAACATGAACTTGGTAAGGTTTAGCCTACAAAGTCACTTGGTTACGGTTTAGTAAAGTATGTTTGTTAAGTCATAATTTTCCTGCTGTTTCCCCACAGGACATAGACTGCAGTCTCAAGGGTGAAAGATTTCTTTTTTTTTTACTCATCCATTCACCCTGACCTCCTTCTTATGTGGTCATATTTCATCTCTGTACCCTCACTTCCTCCTTGGCTCCAACCATAAGGACAAAAAAGTTTACAGTTGAAACCCACAACATTTTTTGGACATCATCACAACTCAGAGTTTCCGTCGCCACACGCAGAAAGTACATTTTCCGAATACATTTTTAGTGCGGTACTAGTATCATATAGTGCTCATATCCTTAATGGATTTGCAGAAGGAAAATGGAAAATAATTTGTTACCAATGAAGAGATGAAGTGATTTCACCCGACGAACTCCAAATGTATGGAGCTATTTCAGGGTCATAAGTTTTGATCAAAAAATACAATTTATTTGAAAGTTCAAGTTTTTATCCTGAACTTTGAAAAATACAATGATGTATTCAAAATAAAAATAAGTATTTTAAATCATTTTTCAGGTTGAATATTATTTTGATTCATTTCAGCAATCTTTTTGAATAAAATATGTATTTTCATATTTCACTTTTACACATATTTTGATATTTGAATCCTTATTTTTTTCAGTTACATTTTTATCGTTTTCAGATTCAAAACAATTATTTTTTCAGTTTCAAATTTTTTTTTCAGGTTTCACATTGCTTTTCACCTTCAGATCGTTTTTCGCTTTCAGATCTTTTTTTTTTCGCTTTCAGATCTTTTTTTTCGCTTTTAAACTTTTGACCCTGATGTTGCTTGGGGGGGCGGGGCTTAGCAAAGAGTAGTTTGGCATCCTGAGTGACAGGCCTCCCTCTGTCATGTTGCCTTCATGGATGTTAGGTAGCGCGAGAAATATAACTCAATACTTTCTATACACGATACTCCCGTGATAGGTGGGAAATAAAACTGATACCAGCGCCAAAGTTCCGTTAAGCGAGCTGCTGAGCATCGTAGTTGGCAACAATCAAGGTATAAACGCGATAAACTGTGCTAGAATGTGAAATTACGTATCCGCAACGAGCCAGCAGGTTGTTCTGGTGGACCTGACGCCATCCCCCGCTGTCTCACGGAGAGATACCGCAGGTCCTTCCTTCCTGCAGCGGTCAGACTATACAACCAGCACAGCCTCTAGACCAGGGGTCTCCAACCTTTTTCTAACCGGGAGCTACTTTTGAAAAAAGAAATTGGCCAAGAGCTACTCATGTTATTTTATATAGATTTCAGTGCACATATCACATTCGTGACTCAAGAGCAGAAACATTAACATTAA